ATATTTAATATAATAAAATTGTATAATATGCATATTATATACAGGTACCCACCATTGGCATCATCTATTAATTAAATGAAACCGATGTACAATAATAATGTATTATTAAATTTACCAATATTTAGATAATACAATTAAATATTAATAGGTATACCACTAGTTTAGGACGTGGGTTATTAATACCAAATATATAGTAAAACCTCGATAGGTAACTCAAATCGGTCGGGGGCAACAAAAAAAAATCAAAATCAAAAAAATTCGTTAAATCGAGTTATAGAAAAATGTATATAGAATAAATTTAAACATAGGAGCTCAGGATATTCCTTAGAATTGTCGAAAATTCGGCTTATTGATGTTCGAGTTATCGAAGCTCATATTATATACTATAGGTGTCTAGGTATATTAACAAGGTAATACAACTTATAATTATTTATTGCGCTGTTATACTAAGTACCTACCAATTATGTAAATAAGCAGTTCATAATTTAATTAATAAGTAACAATGTGTTATAATAATACACATTGTTATATTGTTATTATWTACATCGATTAAACAAAATATTATAAATATAATGTCTTAATTAAATAGGTACTAGGGTATATAAGCCATGTATTATTTATTGATTATTTCACAGACTTTTCAAAGTTTGTAATTAGGTATTAATAATAATAATTATAGTTTATTATTCAGAAGAATGTATAACAATAACGGGATGGAATGAAAAACRTGAATGTTTAATTTATTATGTCATATGTGTGGGCGTCGGTCAAGTACAAAGCTTCAATTGAGCGGTGGCCACCAAACAGATGAAACAACCCTTTATAAATATTATACACTTTGTTGCAGACTACACCACGATTTTATAAAATAYCTATATTGACTGTATTATTATTTATTTGATTTTTAATCGTTTTGATAGACTCGCCACCAATGACCAATATAATATTGTTATTACTCTATTAGGTATTTAGGTACTATAATTATTAATTACTATTAACTCGTGTTCGGGTGTACCATATTAATTGTTAGTCATTAGTCATTACCTACTGCACGTATAATTGTTGCGATTTACAATGTAATCGAATGACGCGGCCATCCGGGCCAACTCGGAAGGCTAAAACTATGTTTATAGAAAAAAAAACTGAATCTACAACGCAAAGAGATGTGTCGTTCGGGGGAGTCGTATGTATTTCTGCACTTATCTGCGCGACTTTAATACACAACTGTGCGCAATATCTTAGTATGACATAATATATAGGTCAACGGGCATAAAATATATGGAACGACATGCGAGTCTTTAATGATTTCTCCGACAACCGCGCAATCCCCACTGCCACACATAGTGTATAATATGGTTCCTGACAAATTAAAATATCACAAAAATCTCAATTGACTAGAACGATATATATCTTATCAGACAGTCACTCCTCAGTCAATTGGTCAAGACGTCAAGTGTCAATTGTGTCATAACGATCAAAAATCTCTCGAAAAAAGTGCACGCCCCGTAGTGAGTGTTCGGTCGTGTTTGTTTTTAACTATTATTTAGCAGTATTTTAACAGATAGGTACCGTACTTTAGTGCCACCGTTTAGGCTATACTGGTTTGCGGTAAACTAATGTTTCTTTAAGTTCTAATGAATACTGAATAGTAACAATAATAATCACAATATTTAAATTTAAAAAGTGAAAGTAACGCGGACGTCTTATCATCTACATACGTTTATGAATTAAGCTGGTTATAAATTAAAAAACTAATACCTACCATTATAATATACCTAATATTGTATCGTATCATTATCATATTATAGGTAAGAAAACAAATAAATAATATCTATAGTTTTTATTTCTCGTTTAAACATAATAATATAATATATTGACATATTTACGGAAAGTTTATGAGCCAATTATAACACAGCGATACTATTGTATTAAGGTCGATCAAAGTTGTACTTTTGTTGTGCTGAGTCCAATTTCTTTTCGATAACACTTGGCCGTTGGTCAATAGATTACGTCCGAACTGTATAATTGTTTTTATCTTAATACAAAATGAGTACCCAATTCTTCTAATCAGTATTTTGCCTTTACTTTACGTTAAATGTTTTGATATTTCATTACATGCACAACGTTAAAAAACAGTGTCGGTGTCGGTATTGTTTTACTAGATTATTTGAAAACTAACTGTGCTCGTATTTTYAAATACAATTTTAAATATGTCACTACAAAGACTAAATAAATTTGTCAGATGTCCGGCAAACTACAATTTATGCCGTTATGTTAAGTCACAATTAGAATTTTCCCCATTTTTGAGGTTGTCTGTGAGATCAAAGAACTTTTCCACCAGCCAAAATATGTCGTCGAATCAGAAAGTATTAAATATTGACAACATGAACCCTAACGTAAGAATAATGGAATATGCTGTTCGGGGACCATTATTGATAAGAGCTACAGAAATTGAAAACGAATTAAAAAAGGTTTGTATATTTTTAATTTTAAATATCTTTTTCGTATTCTTAATATATTAAATTTTAGGGTGTTGAAAAACCTTTTAAAGAAGTGCTTAAAGCGAATATTGGTGATTGCCATGCAATGGGACAAAAGCCAATTACATTCATACGTCAGGTACAGTTATATTCATTCCTTATYCAATGGCAGATTTAACAGTAGTGTGTAGCATATACCAACTGGACTCCTTATTCAGGTTTTGAAGAGAATATAATTAAGTAAGCTAGTGATCCATTTTGCACTTCAAAATAAAATTAACACAAATACTTGTATGATTTATGAGATATTTAACTCTTAATTCCACAAGTGTTACTTCTCCTTGGTAATTTATATAATTTATGTAGGATTATTATGTAAATAGGTAAATATTGTTTGAATATTTAAACTGAGTAAAATCAAGTAATATTTAGAAAATCAAATTCTTCAAATGTATACATTTTAATTTATTATACAAAAGATATTTCTTATTATTCTCCTGCATAGTATGTATTACTATTGATTTTTAATATTTTATTTTTCATTGGAAATTAAATAACTGTCCCAAGTAAATTTGAACCAATTTAAATCTTCATAAATTAYAAGTACCATTTTAAAAGTCTTGAAAAATATCTTTAAATAATAAATAAAGATACATTGGAAATCATCAAATATATCCTTATTATTTAAATATCCCTTACACTATGTAGTTCTTATAATCTCTCGCACAAAAATCAAATACTATATYGAACAACTATATATATATTTAATATTCATACATTGTGTAATTTTGTTAAGGTTTTAGCTTYGGTATCTCAACCAGATCTATTGGATGATGATCGATTTCCTGAGGATGTTAAAGAACGTGCAAGAACTATATTAGATGGATGCCGTGGTGGAAGTGTTGGTAATTTAATTCAGAATATTTGAATAATAATTGTTATACTTAGAAATAAACACTATAATTTGTATTATCATCATATTTTATAAATTATTAATAACAAYGTTTATTATCTGAGTACCCAAATTATCATATGATTTTATTAAACACATTCTATTATAACCATGTCTTAATGTACTGAGGTTGTACTTCAATTTTTATTTGTACTAATTAAATTATTATATAAGTCCTTGATCTGTCATATTGAATTAGTACACCATCTTAGATTATTTTATATTATTACTATTGAGTAATAAAACATTTATTCATAACATTGTTATAAATTGCTATACAAAGACATTGTACAGCTATAATACTCTATAATTCCAAGGTTATATAACAGTAATTGAACGCTATTATTTTTATTTTTTTTTTTATTGAAGATTTAAAAAAAGTTAAATTCATATTTTCAGTTTAATATTCTGAAAAGAAATTATGTATGAATATTGAATTAATAGATTCTTAAATACATTATATATTGAGAATGCTTTAAAAAATGTAAATTTTTTGTTTAAGTTGTTAGAGATCATTAATATGTTAAAATATATACCTACTTTTAAATTAGAGTGGATTTTTTTGTTAATTTGATTATATGCTATYAAAAAGCTATTTATATTTTTATAATAATCTAATTTATACTTAATTATTATGTTGTTTTTGGTATAGGGTCTTATACTGATTCTCCAGGAATAGAAATAATAAGGAAACATGTTGCTCAATATATTGAACGTAGAGATGGTATTCCCTGTGATTATTTAAATGTCCTCTTGTGTGCTGGTGCATCTGATGGAATAAAAGTTTGTTTTTACATTTAAATATTTAGCATGTATACAAAGTTTATCTAAAATGGCAATTTGGTTCATATTAGTTTAAATATTAAATTAAATTATAATTTTGATTAATATTTATTTATTTCATAAAATTATACATATACATTTATATTTAAAACATAAAATAATTAATTTTTCTATCTTTCTACTGTAATAAATTATTTGATGTTGTTCTTATATTTATTTGAGTACATTATTAGTGATGAATATAACATACATGCAATACTTAGTAAAAAATTATAAATTATAAATAAATCATTGACTGTTTTAGGCTATTCTACGATTATTGGTTGCTGATGTTGATGGAAAAAAACCAGGTGTTTTAATTCCTATTCCACAATACCCATTATATTCTGCTACATTAGCAGAGTTCAATGTAAAACAGGTAAATGATAACTTAATTATTATGATATTTACTTTAAGGTGTCTTCAACAGTCAATATTTAATTTAATAAAGGTAAAATAGTCAGTAGCTATAAATTGTTAACATTTAATTATTGTAACTTTCATAATATATAAAATATAAACAGCTGGAAATAGGTGAACTGTATATCAGTGCTACAGTAATATTTTTCATAATTTTTATGCACATAATTTTACAAGAACAAATTTGAAATAAAATATTAAAAATAAAATATACGAGTTGATCAATAGAAACTTTAAATTTTAAGTGTAGCTCACCATTTTAAAAATTCCAAGGATCTTTGATTTACTGGCTACAAAGTTGTATTTCATAATACACATTATAATTTATTACATTATATAACTAGCACCAATATTTTATTTCTTAATTAATAGTATTCATAACGATACTATTCTTAATTAAATAACAGTATAATATTCTTAAAATGACATCTTTTAGCTTTAGTGRATTAACATTCAATATCATAATGTTTATTGGTGTAAATATCTATTGTTATCCCTGTGAACGAACAAAAATCTTAATTGTTAGTTTATGTGCATGTTTTAACTAAGATTATTTTCATTTGAACATGAACTGAACTGCTTAAATAAAATAATGTTGAATAAATATTTAAAAAATTCATTTCTAATTAATTTTTAATAATTTTTGTTACTTAAAAATTCATATCTTTTACTCTTATATTCAAAGAAAGTATTGTAAATTATTACMTATAATCAGTATATGATTTATCTTATATTATGCTTGTTAGTATTATAAATTATAATTTATTAAAATCAATGTAGTTAAGTATTAAGTAATTAGTAAACTTATACTTAAATACTTTATACTTTTTAATCATAATCATAATCAAGTTTATTTGGGTTGTTTTTATTAGGTTGGATACTTTTTAGATGAAAATAAAAATTGGGGTTTGGATGTGAATGAATTAGAAAGATCAATAACTGAAGCACGCAAACATTGTAACCCTAGAGCTATTGTGGTTATTAATCCCGGCAATCCAACTGGTATGTTATTACTCATTACTTATTATTTAATAATTATTTTCAGTTGTGGTATTAAACTTCAAGCTTATTTTTAATAAATGATGATATTTAATTTCAAATAATTTTGCAAATCAATCAGGTGGGTACCTTTATGTTAAATTACCATCATCAATTTTAAACCCATTTGATGGCACAACTGTAGTTTAGAGAGTTTTTGTCTCTTAGAATATTTAGATAGATAATAGCACTTATGGGAAATGTGGAATGTTACTGATCAAAAGTGATACTGCACTAAAATTTGTACATAGTGTCGTGGAGTGTGATCAAGTTAACAAAATAACTTTTATATGTTTTACTTATTRTAAATCCAATTTTATATTGTCAYCGTCTAAATTGTGTAGTTTTATTTTATACTTAAAAATATTGTAATTGTCTATTTTATAGTTGGCATATTTAAATTGTTTAGGCCAAGTATTAACCAAAGAAAATGTGGTGGATGTTATTAAATTTGCATATAAAGAAAAATTGTTCTTACTTGCTGATGAGGTAATATTTATATTTCTGTGTATAAAATATGTTYATTTTTTTACTACTGTTATTTCTATTTTATTTACAAATTTATTATTAATACCTAGGTATATCAAGACAATGTATACGCTGAAGGCAGTAAATTTTATTCATTCAAAAAAGTATTAACAGAATTAGGATCTCCTTACAGTGAAATGGAATTGGCATCATTTATGTCTTGTTCTAAAGGTAATTGAATACTACACTAATGAAAACTTATATAGCAATATTATTTAAAAACTAACATATTGTGTGTGTTAGGATATATGGGAGAATGTGGTTTAAGAGGTGGTTACACAGAAGTGATTAATTTGGATCCGGAAGTTAAAGCAATGTTACTCAAATCTGTATCAGCTATGTTATGCCCCACAGTTCTTGGCCAAGTATAGATAAGATTTTTAAAATTTGTTTATAGTAACTATTATTTATTTTGTTTTTTTTGTTCAAATAGACTGTGATGGACTGTGTTGTAAATCCTCCACGTCCAGGTGAACCATCATATGAGAGTTTTCAAGAAGAAAAAAATGGTATACTTAAATCGTTGGCAGAAAGAGCCAAATTGGTAGCCGATACATTTAACAGTATACCTGGGATGTCTTGCAATCCAGTGCAAGGTGCTATGTATGCTTTTCCACAAGTATGTTAACTTAATTTTTTAATACTTACTTAATAAGCATAAATATTATTTCCATTTATAGATAAAGTTACCTGAAAAAGCAATTAAAGAAGCAAAAAATCAAGGAATTGAACCTAATGCATTCTATGCATTTCAACTTTTGGAAAATACTGGTATTTGTATTGTACCTGGATCTGGGTTTGGTCAAGTTGAAGGGACTTATCATTTTAGGTATATATAAAAATTATATATTATAAAAGATCTCAGTTAAAATGTGATGTGTTAAAAGCCTATACAGGGTATAACAGTAAAATATTGTATGTAACAAAAGTTATTGCATTWGTCAGTGYTTCTGTTAAATCCTGTATATCATTTAAAAATTAAATACAACATAAAAAATAGTTAGGCATTTTATTTCGACAAACAAGTATTAAYTGAAAATAAATCCARTATTGTTTATAAATTAATTTAATATATTTTTATGAGCTTAAATAATATTACTGTCTGTTCATTAGTTTTCTAAATATAAAACAAGAAATTTGTCCTCAAAAAAATGTTYGRTTGATTGACGATACCTTTTTATTACAAAGAWAAAACTATTCAATGGAACATGGATAAAGCTTAGAAAAACAGCTATCACYACTTAAAACTTTGTTTAAATACATATTTTAACAATAATGATTAGTTTAAGATTTTTAAAATCCAATTTAAATTTCCTAGCATCCCTTAAACATAATATATTAATTTTGAAATTTTATTTTCAGAACTACAATCCTTCCTCAACCAGATAAATTGAAATCTATGTTGGACAATTTCAAAGATTTTCATTTAAAATTTTTAGAACAATGGAAATAATATTTGAAAAAAGAGAATGGCAATTAATATATTATTGAAGTAGAGATAAAATACCAATTGCATATAAATTTTACTATTGATACAACATTTAGCTGGTCTACCTAAAATTGATGTTAAATTTACAGTATTTTCACAATTTAGCTTAATTTTTTTAGCCAGAGATCATTATATATTGCACTCATTAGGTATATAATACTGTTTCATTTACCAGATAGAATCGTTCCTACATATCTTAAACAAAACTATTACTTAACTAAACTAAACTATATAAACTTTATAAACTATTCATTTATTTTGTTGCCATTAATGTTAAAGAAATGGATATTGTATTTTAAATTTTAAATTTTTTATGTTTATCCTAACATAATTACCATTAATCAAGACTGTTCAAGATTAAATAACGTTCCCGATTCTTTAAATATTWATTTTTATTTTTAAAAATCACTACTAACTTATTATTTTGATGTGAAAAGTTTTACCCTAGTACTTATTTATGTTTTTATATAAGATTTAATTTTACATAAAACTAATAACAACATACCTAACAACCTTCAAAAGCTATTATTTAGTCATACTAGTCTAAATTTGAATAAAATTATATCTGTTTATAATTCACTATTCAAAACTTGATAAATTAATATTAGTTTATATAAATCTTATCTGATTTTGTCAGAAATTGTAATGAATGTAATAAATTAAATCAATTTTCCTCGTTAAAAAATATCATACCAAAATTTTTTTATTAAATCCATCCTTGCGTTACTTAATTATTTTTTTCTTAATTTGTACMATTTTTATTTTTAAATCTGAGTTATTTCCAAAACAATTGTACTAATTGTAATCAAATAAAACATTTTAATGCATGTAATATATTCTTTAATTATAATTGATTAATTATTATTATTGTATTTAATTATATATATTAATATTATATAATTTCATTCATAAACAAATTAGATGTTTTATATTCAATTGAATTTGGTTAAACGTTTTAAATTTAGTATAGCAATTTAAACTATCAGTATAAATATTTATATAAGATATTATATTGTTCTATAATTACTACCATTGAGTTGATTATGTCTTCTATCTAAACTCAATGCTACTATTTATTTATGTTTAAATAAAGTTGTTGATGTAAAACTAATATTTTACTAGTGCTCTTTTATTTTCATTTATGCTATGGTTAGAGTTGGGCAAATTTTTAATTAAATAAATATTAATTCRAATTATTTTCAAGCCGGTGAATCAAATAAAAACTAATTGAATACAATTTTTTTCTTTTTAATTATTTAAATCTGTAAATAATATATTTGAACAATACCCTACTCTTACCATTATATAAATCACTCTGTATTTATAAACACTATATATTTTACAAAATAATGCTTGTAACATTAGTCAGTTTACTGCATAGGCAACTAGGGGGATATTTGATCACATATTTGGGTAACAGAGATCCTAAAATTTTAGCCTACAGGCCTCTCCTCGAGGGCTTACATTTTAATTATTGTTAATACATAAAATCCATATTGAAGTTTCCTTGATTCACGGAGGAAATGTATTAGATCAGTCTTTCATTAGCAAATAGTCCCAATATTTAATATTGTTGTGTTTTATAAGATATGTGTACACTGTACAAACATTTTGAAAATTTACAACTGCTATTGCTAAGATTTTATAACTATACAAATTAATTACCTTTTAACTACTCATAATTATTTAGTATGTAATAGTTTTATGGTTTATAATTTAAAACTAAACAATATTTTAATCTTTTACAGAAATAATTAGTAYACCAATATCATTGGCTTATATATGTTGAGTTATCCGTTTTTAACTCCTAGTAGTACCTACAACAATTTGACAAACATAATAAAATATCTTGTTGAAAATATTCATATAACTCATTTGACATGAAATATAAAATTTTTAATTTGATGAATTTTCAATATTTAAAAACACCAGTAGGACAGACAAATAAAATAAGCGCAATAAATTCTTTTGTTATGTTTATTTCATTTGTTCTTATTTATATTAGCCACATATAAATAAACATACATAGACAAAATAAATTAAATAAATATTTTGAAAAATATTGATGAGTTACTAAATATTTATCAAAATATTTTTAATAATAAAATTATAATAAATAATGTAAAAAAGTATAATTTAATAAAATAACAATTAGTAACAGTATAAGTAATTATTGATATCAAATATAATTATGTACATAACTGTAGATCCATTGCAGTTAGATTTTTAGACCTTGAAGTAATTTATCTAAACTCTAAAATAAAAAAAATAAACACTAGTCATTATATTCAAATTTATAGCAATAATATATAAATAGTAGTACAAATAATATTGTTTATATTTCTTTGACAAAAACAATGTGTTACTTACATTGAGTTCCCATAATATTATTTTTCCATCTAATCCACTACTAGTGAATTTCAAAACGGTATTGTTTGACTCAGTATGAACACGCAAACATGTTAATGTATTTTGATGTTTAGTATCAAGCTCATAGTCACTATTGATTCGTGCTTGTCTATCTAAGCTTTGAAATTTTTTCATTGCACTAAAAAACATATTTAATGAATTATAACAYAAAATAATATATATTATAAATTTAATACATATTCTTTAGATTTCTGTTTTATAATTACCTTAGACCAGCAGCTTCTTTTTTCTGAGAACTGTCAATCTTAGAAACAAATTGCACTTTGTTATTGGAGTCAATGCAGTACAACATAGGACAACATCCATGGCCCTATTTACAAAAAAAGTATTTATTTTACATACTATAGGTTTTAAGTWATAGGCATAAGAATCTAACATCCATAATTTAGAACACTGATAATAATGACCTGCATTGAATAGATTTGATTATTACCACCTTAAGTTTTTAATTTTATRTAAAAGTCTATTTGAATTTAAAATAGTTWTGAACTCACTGCAGCAACTAATGCACGATCAGAAACCCAAATACAGCTTATGAAAGGTAACTCATTTGTTTTTAATTTATTTACAACAATGCTTCCTTTAGATACATCAGCAACAGTAATAGATGAATCATGAGCAACCCAACATAATCGGTTACCAGTTTTATTAAATGCTAATCCATGAATCCATCCACCTAAAGATATAATCAATTCAGTAAAAATAAAAATAATATTAATTAGTAGATTATGTTTATATTTCTCCACMCMATTTTGTATGTATAAAATATACCTATAGCTTGTTAGAAATAATATTAAGTACATAGGTTTACAGCAATATTTAGTACTATGATAATTTTTCAATACAACTATGTTATATAAACTACCAGTGGCGTGCAGATCCCTTTTTCCACGTGGGGCAATGCTAATTTTTTTACACCCACCRCCCACCTAAAACTAAAAGTTACAAATAATATATGTTTTATTAAGGGCCTCTATACAGTAATATGAAAACACAATATTTATCAAATAAAAAAAAATTTAAAAATCCCACACCCACCCCGCTTTCAAGTGGGGCCTAGGCCCCATTTGTGTCTTGTCTGCACGCCACTGTAGACTACATTAAAATATCTTAACAATTAAGTAATATTATTAATAAATATATTTGTAAAACAAATTACATTTGAATAAAATATATAAATTTACCTCCTCTAGAAGAATTTGTAAATTCAGCAACTAAATTTGGCACAGAAGTATCATCAGTGTCCCATTCGGTTTTTATTTTTTGACACTGGTCAACTTCTTTCATATGTACATTAAACAGTCTTACTCGAAAATCGGCAGTACCAGTAGCTAATACCATGTTGTTTGGATGCCAATCTAATGCAGTTACTGTAGATCGGATTGGTTTTTTTATATGTTTTGACACCCACCAATCGTTTTCTACTTCAAAATAGCACACAGATATCAATTGAGCTCCTGAACCAACTGCAAATTTTTTCTCTAGAAATAATTTAAAAATCATGGGTTAATTAATATTAACAATAAATAAGAATAATGAGTATTTATAATACTGGTAGCAAAGTAGAAAAGCATAAGTTTTACATTTTTGTGTTTGATTATTTTATAACAATTTTCTCATAAGTTACATTAAACTAAGATAAATATTTAAAAACCCGCTGTTGAAAAATKTAAGTACTTTATTGTAAGTAACAAATTTGGATAAGAATTAAGATTAAATARYAAATATACTATTGAATGTCGATAAACCACATACAATTTTAATATGAATTACAAAATTACCATTGGGTGACCATTTAACACACGTTGCAGCTCTACTAATTCTTAATAATACAAGAGTTGGTTTCCACTTTCCTTTGTCATCAATTGTCCATACATATGCATTACGGTCCTATTAAGTGATAAAAGTAATATAATTGTAAATAACTAAAGTATAGATGCATTTAATAGAAAACTTACAGCTGAGCAAGTTACAATTCGATTAGTGTTAGGTGCCCAATCAATTCCAGTTACTAGAAGTCCATGTTGATCTAGATTGTCCAACAATGTCCAGTCACTCAAATTTGGTTCATATTTGTATATTTGTACTTCATTACTATTTGGAATTACTGCTATCTCTGTATTGTATTATTCAATCAAAGRATTAATAAGATTTTTAGATATTATACCTGACTTGATACTTGATACTAAAATTTGGATGATTAAATGAAACTTACGAGTTCTATTTGCATTCCATGAATGTGCAGTAACTGGATTGTCTCCTAAGTTGTATTCCATTATACAAAATTGAATAAATTAAAACTAAAGGTTTAGATTTTGATTAAAAAATTGTTTAAAAAAATATTAGATGGCAACTCGGATATGATACTAAAATACTAAATAGTAAATACGATGACGGTTCTTATCCGACTTAGCAACTTCCAAGTCGCAAACTTCTAACTTCAACCGAGTACCCAGCCACYTAGGGTCTAAGTAAGTAAATATTGCAGAATACGACGTGAATGATGAGAAATTTAGAAACTGAATCCCAAACTTCCAAAAAGGGCTGGCGGGTGGCGGCTCATAAGTCATAGACAGCTCAGCAGTGTAGCACTCCGTAATAAGTGATAAACAGTATGACACTATGTGCAATATTAATTGTACAATAATATTCAGTTATTCGGACAAATTTACTATTTGGGGTTTGCTGCTTTGAGTCTTGAGATTATTTCAGAAAATTTATAGACGAATTTTAAGACGAAGATGAACCATGAACTACACAAACTAATCATTTATTATTCAAATGTTTGCATAGTATATAATATTTTCGAAGGAAAATAAAGCSCCTTATCCTCCTTCCGGTTGGTAGTTATTCCCAATTCCACAATTATTAAGAGAATATTCTTCCTAACCTATTTGCTATTGCCCGTGTGTTATATACTTTGTCAAGGAATTTTCAATGGAGAAATGTGAAAAGTAATAAACTAATAATACATTTAAATGAATTGTGGTGGTATGGTGGTTATACCAACGACACTTATAACTTTATAAGGGTATTAAGGAACAATGGTGGGAGTGATATGACCAATAACCATTCCCCTTGACAAATGACAAGCCCACGGACTTTATTTTTAGTTCATAATATCTTGCTATAAAAAAAATAGTTGGTAGGTTCTTAGTTGTTTTATTGTTTAGTAACTATGACACTATGTGACACCATATAAGGGGTAGTATAGAGTGGTACTTTTATTATATTGACGTCTTATTATCCTGACATAAAATTTACAAACGCCAATGACTTACAATGTTATGACAATGGCATATACACATACGTATTAATATATTATAATTATCAAAATAGTTATTGCCTCTGCATTAGTTATTTAAAAACATTTGAAATTTTTTTMTTTTTTATGTTTTCTAAGTTGAAACTTTTTTCAAATTTTGTAAATATTTTTCATTTAGAAATTCATAAAAGTATAAGTTGTTCAGCTCACCTAACTAGGATTAGAAATGTTAATATAATAGATTCCCCACAAATTTGAAATTGTTGTACCTTATAAAAAAATTTCCGGAAAGTTACTCTATTTTTAGGTATGGGATATTCATTTTTCTATTTCTATTATTTTTCTATTTTTAAATTGAATTATTTATGCAAGTATTGCTAGGATGAGAAAATGTCCCGCTTAGAATAGTTTTTCATGTGTAATTGTTGACTATCACTATTGAATTCAAATATAAGTAGGTATATAACATATCCATTACAACAACATGTTTCAATACTTGACAACTTACAATGTTGTATAGCAAAGCGGTGCCCACTTCAACATATTTTTATATTTGTTTTTCTCAATGTTTTTAAAAACTTCTTGGAATTTGCAATTTTGACATTTTGAAGGTAGTTCACTAACTTGTAACTAGATTTATTTTTCTATCAAAAAAGTTGCTAAAATAGAAAATTGGAGCATTTTTAATGCCCCGAAATGTAGACATTTCAAGGAGGCTTTACCCTCCTCCCTAACTACGGCACTACAGTAAATAATATTGCAAGTCACAATCACAAAAATAAGTGACAGCAATAAAATGACGATCTATTATAAACTACAATTCCATTTTTTAAGTTAATTTATATTTTATTGTTAACCCTGCATGGGATGAAATATGTCCAACAATTTAATTCTTTAATTTAATAACCAGTGCCTTCTCCTGCCATACTGTACAGTTCACTMGGTATCCTATTATAGATCGCCCACTCACTTGGCAATCACATATTACATAAGTAGTAAATTTTGGTATCTTCTGAAACCTCATCCCCTGAGCCACTGGTCCATAGTTCTTGAGTCCTAACCTGAGCCCTCAAAGCAGTCAAAGCCTCAACCTGTCGCCCAACTCGGCATGTGTCATGTACTCACTACTCATGTGTGGCACTGTGGCGTACTGGCGTAGTGGCGTGTGTGTGTGCGACACATWTTTAGTATTTACCCCTTTCCTCATCCACAAACAAAACCAGCTGACTCGTCACGTGATGAACACTTATATTTACCCCGCCCGCCACCGCCACCAACTTCTCATGAGTTATGATTCATAACGTAACACATATTTTTCGCGCCTGCGCATGGGAAAACGAATACGAATTACGAATGCGACTATTGCGACTGTGACAACTTTACATATTTACACTCATATCATTAACGTTATCAACATACTTTATCAACGACCAACGTATGGGAAATTGGGAACAACAACCGTCAAATTATCATGTACAACCACTTATCATGTTTTTATATTATTGTACCACGAATTTGTGGTATATACTATCACAGAATACCATGGCACTATGCTACTATGCAGTTTACAATTAAATGATATTGTGCATTTGTGTTGTTCTTTTATATTATTGAATATTGGAATGTTAGACCATGTTAGCACGTAGCCACGTAGGTGCCAGGAGGTGATATCATAATTAAAAAAATTTGATATTTACTATAATTTTTAATAACCGTATATTGTAAGTATAACTTACTTATCTAATTATATAGTATTTTGTTACTGACATAACATCACGAAAATAAGACATACCTATTATATAGGCCGGATTTATAAAATAACTCGCACACRCGGGATGTTGTTAATATATCCTTACCATATTTTACTTCAGATAGAATGTTGACCTAGGGTTGCCTTACGTCCCGGAAAACCGGGACTGTCACCGGTTTTCGACTTTGTGTCCCGGTGTCCCGAAAAATGTTTTCGGGACGCCTATATGTCCCGGTTTTAGGAAAAAATGTTTAGTGTTTAATTTTGACAATTTTTTTTCGTATAATAATTGAAATCGAGAGTCAAAATGTTATTGTTAGAGACAACAAATAATTGATAAATCCATAAGCTAAATATAAAATAATATCGGGAATATTCAAGGACAACAAACGAGTCGTGTGCACTGTGCAGTTTACGTTTTATTTTAATATTCGATCGATCATCAGACATCAATACGTCCATATCCATACGGGTGATACAGAGGCAGACTAATGACTTTTATATCAGTAGAATATACTACATAGGTCGTTTTTATTATTTTATTTGTTATTATGGCACCAAAAAGAAAATGTTATTTTTGTGACGAATTTAATATTGTTAAATATTATTAAACAATAAATTTAAAAAAAAAAGTTTACATTGTTAATTTGTTACAGTAAAGTGTATAAGTTATAACACTATAACCTATATTGTGTCATTTTTTTAATACATACCCAATGGCTTATATAATTTAATGATATTTATTTCTAAATGTATTTACTATTTTTTTTGTCTGTCCCGGTTTTGTTT